CCCGCAAAGCAACGACTCTGCCCGTGACCACGGAGCCGACAGTGTCCCGTCGTCGCCGCCGTCGGCTTGCCTGTCAGCCGCCGCTGTCGCCGTCACCGCTACCAACATGTCGTGCTTTGGCCTGAAGCTCGAGCACGATGTGGCGCTGACCATCCCGAACTACCCGTTCAACCTGCCGGAGTCGCGTCAATCCCCCGCTCCGCCTGGGGGAGCTGAACAGGGCCACTTTTTCGAAGGTCAGGCTGACCAGACCCCCACCCTTTCGGCAAGCAATTCGGTTGTCGGTTTGCCGGGCTCCAGCTTGGCCCTCAATGAGCAGAAGTATGTCCCCATGCCTTCTGTCCCCCGCCCTCCCCCCACCCCGGCCGTCTTTGTTCGCTGACCCCTCTTTGCCTCTTTGCCTCTTTGCCTGCTCTCCCGGCTCGACGTGCTCTTTAGCCTGCCGGATGGCGTGGATGCCACCGGTCTGGGCCATCGCTTCGATACCTTCACCTCGGCCGCCGAGCAGGGCGCCGGTACCGAGGGGGACTTCCCTCTTGGTGCTGCTCCCCCCTGGGACATTGATGAGGGCGAGGCATTGAAGCTGATTCGGACAGTGCGCTACTTTGACGGTCGAACGGCCGATCTTGACATCGACCTCGGTCCGGAGGATGACGACCGTGTTTTCCCGGAGATTTCCATGGCCAGCGCCGTGACCTTGGCCGATGAGACCATTGTCCCTGCCGCCTCTTTGGTGTCCTCTCTGTCGATGCCGCCCGACAGCCTCCGGGCGTCGCCGTATGCCGGTGGGGAGGATGCTCCCGCGGCCGATGGCCCCGATGGCCCGGCCCGTCGCACTGCGTCTCCTGTGGATCAGGACCTCGGTACGTGAAGGACCCTCCCCAACCCGAGACACGCACACACACACACACACACACACACATGTATACTTGCTGTTACTCTCTTCCCCTTTCGGGTGACACCACTCTCTGACACGCATTTGGACCGGGCTGGATGACACATGTGTGTATTCACCCACACACACACACACACACACACACACACACCCTCCTCTACCTCCTGCCTCTCCTTTCCAACCCAACCATCTGCCCACCTAGCGGATACCGCGGCTGGCACTTCTCCCACACCGACCGGTTCCGCTCTCCCCTCCACTCGGCGCAAGAACCTCCTTGGTCTTCTGTACCCTGGTGATCGGGACGGCGTTCGGGTATGCCTCCCTTCCCTTGTCGTCCTGCTTTCTCTTCTTCTTCTTTTTTTTCTCCCCTCCTCCCCACCCCACTCTCCATGCGCACACATCCACCCAAGCATTCCCGCCTGCCTGTCCATTGACACCCCCCTTTTCACACGCACACAGCATGCCCTACGGACATCGCAGGCGCTGATCATGCGCAAACTGGCCCAGAAGCGCGCGGGTGCTCCAGAGGTCCCCGGATCGGAAGTGGTCTTCAAGACCCTCTACCGCCGGCGCCTGGTGTCACACAATGCGGTCCCGGGCGCTGGGGCCGATTCCGAGGCACCTGCCAATCCTGCACGCCCTAGCTCCGGCGGGTCGGAGGATGGCAATGATCCTTGTGTCCAGCCGATCGAGTATTCCTTCTTCCTGGCCGAACTGCGCTTTGCCCCTCCCACGCCGGGATCCCCGCCGAACACGGTATCCTTGCGCTTGGCCGAACAGGATATCACCCATGAGTTCGACCAGGTGCGTCCCTGCCCAAGTTGTCTTGCTCAGACACACACACACACACACACACACACACACACCGTACGCGTGAGGGCCATTGCTTGCGCATGCTCAAAAGCATGCGCCATGACACCCTCCTCAATCTGACCCCTGTTCTGTGCTCTCCTCTCCCCCTTGACGGAAAAAAAAAAAAAAAAAAAGGTTGAGTCACTGGCTCTCTTTTATATCCCAGACGTGACTCCCTCGGGAGACACCCCGGTCACCAGCTCACTCCCGACCCCGGCGCCGGTGACCCTCGGCGAGGCGCATGCCCGCGCGCGTGGGCTTTCCTCCTCGCCGCCTGCCACCACCCCCTCCAATTCGGACATCATTTTCCAGAGTGATGCCTCGACCGGATGCATCACGCGGGCCTCCTTCTCTTCGGAACTGGTTTGGGGCATGGCCCCGGGCGATTTGCTCACCTTGCCTCCCTGGTTCGGGGTGGTCACGTCGTATGATAGCCAGTCGTCGGGACTGGAGCTTTCGGCCAACCTGCGGCACCTTCTCCGGCCGCGGCATGCTCGGCACTGGAATGGCAGCCAAACCTTCACCATTGTGGATGATGTGTGCTCCGGCAACCAGGCTCTCAACCCGCTGGAGCGCTTCACCGGCAATCTCTTCGAGCGTATGTGGCACTCGGTAGTCGAGGTGCGTCCAAGAAGAGGCGGGAAAGGGGAGAAACAAGAAGCCGAAACCACATGAACAGATGATCAAGGGAGCATGCTGCCTTCCGGGGGGAGGGGGGGGGGGGGACCCTGCTTTGCTTTGCTCTTCCTTGTCGATCTTCCCCCTCTATAATGTCCCTTTGCCACTGCTCACATACGCACACGCTTGTCGGATGCCTCCATACCTCAGACCCAAAAGCCCTCGGGACCATTTGTCGTTCTGCGTCAGGTCCGCCGCGGGGCTGGGCCTCGCGGCCGGCATGGCGGCCACGACGGTGACACAGCGATCTTTGCCACGCGCGAGCTGATCCAACTGTCACCGGTCATGGATCCGGCCGATCCGCGACGCGTGTGCTCCGTGGTCGGAGTGGTGTCCTTCACTGGCTGGGTTCAGCTGAAGGACCCATCTGTCCTGTCGGCCATGATGCAGCAGCAACGCCCGCGCTTCTCCCAGGCGGACTTCATGCCGACCAATTTGGACCCCGGGCTGACCTTCTCCTCGGACTCGCCGCCGGATATCCAGCAACTGGAGGCGGCCACCTCGTTGGAGACCTTGAGTCGGGCAGCCATGAGCTGCATGGGTAGCCCCATCTCGGCCTCCACCTCCTCCACATCATTGGCCCTGCTGGACTCGGGGAGCGATGTGGTGTCCACAGCGACAGTTACTACGATCCCCCATCAGGGAGGAGCCAGCAACGAGCAAACACATTTTTCACACCGCCCTGTCGGTGGCACGCAGTCATACTTCCCTCAGCAGCAGCAGCAGCAGCAGCAGCAGCAGTACCACAATGCCCAAACCCAGGGTGGTATGAATGGTGTGGGGATGCTGGCGGCGGATACCCACATCTCTGCGTCCTTCTTGAGTAACCTTTCGCAACAGCGCGGGCATGACGGCAGCGTTGGCCATGGAGGCTCGGTCAGCGGCAACAGCAGCAGCACCGCCTCCTCCAGCAACAACACCAATGGCCCCATGCATTCATTGGCCGATTTGGCCATGACTGCCGGCGTCTTCGAGGCGGCGGCGGAGCTCATGCGTGTCAACTCCGGCAAGGGGTTTGCATTTGGTAACAGCTCGAATGATGGACACCAGCAGCAGCACCACCAGCAACAGCACCACCAGCAACAGCAGCAGTTCCAGCAACAGTACCGGCAGCAACAACAGCAGGCCCACTCGCATCAGCACCACCATCAACAACAGCAGCAGCAGCACCATCACCATCACCATCATCACGGCGGGCGGCAATCGATGGCTGGCAGCCAGGAGTATGTCCCGATGGAGGATCATCATATGAATGGAAACATGTCTGCAGCGGAAATGCTGCTGATGCAGCGTCGGCACCATCAGCAGTATCAGCAGCAGCAGCAGCAGCAGCAGCAGCAGCAGCAGCAGCAGCAGCAACAGCCGCCGCCGCAGTTTGGGCAGCTTCGCGCCGGGGCCCCGATGCCGGCCACTGGCGCCGCACCACCGGCCCCAAGCGACCCGGCCACCGGCGGTGCCTCCAAGCGCACACCCCGGCCATCTCCCTCGGGGCTGCCCTGTCCCCAAAATGGCTGCGGGCGAACCACATCCTTGGAGTGGCGCCGCGGCCCGGATGGTGAGAAATCCCTCTGTAATGCATGCGGCCTGCGGTGGTCGCGTAAGCAAAGTGTCCTTGCTCCGGCTGCCGGGGGTGCTTCTTCAAGCCCCGGAGGAGGGGCGGCTGGTGAGGGGTCGGCCTCGCAGCCGCCCTCGGCCAGTGCCTCGGCTGCCTCTTCACCATCTCTTGGAGGAGGAGCCGCCGCCATGGCCAAGCAATCCGGCAGTGGCAAGGCCGCCAGCTCGGGGAAGACGTCCAGCCGGAAAGGTAGCCCTGCGACTGGCACTGGAAACAAGGCCTCGGCCCAGGGAAGCAGCGGGGCTGCTGGCGCCGGGGCCCCGGCCAAGCCGCGCAAGCGCAAGAAGCTGTCTCCGCCGGGGGAGACGACGGCCTTGCCGCGGGCGACGACGACGGTGAATTCTCCGCAGATGATGGCTGCTCTTCCGAACAACCCGCCAGCGGGAACGGCCCATAGCAGTAGCCATGTTGGTGCTGGTGGCCACCCGCACGTTGTTCCCTGAAAGGGAGGAAGAAAAAAAAAGAAGGCGGTGCACAAGGGGCGAGAGGCGACCGTGAATGAGAGCGAGAGACGCTGTTCTCCCGCGCCGCCTTGTCCCTCCCTCCACATGCCCCCTTCTTCCCTCCCCTGTCCTGTTTCTCCTTGGTTTCCCTTGTGGCGATGGTGTGTGTGTGTGTGTGTGTATACACACATCGCACCGGCTGAAAAGACAACACACTTGCACACATCCCCACGATCCGCGACTCGCATGCGTTGGCTTGACACGAGGATATGCCAATGTAGTTATTTGGTTCTGGTTTGTTCATGTGATGCATCTCCTCTATGGGACATGGGCCTAGGTTGCTCGTGTGATCTGTCTCCGCGCGGGCGCGAAGTGCTCTGGCTTTTTCCCCGGGCACACACGCACACGTATGCATTCTTGCCAATCAAACAATGAAAGGGGTAAGAATCCGGTTTCCTCTCTCCCTCTCCGGGGCTCGGGGGGGGAGGGGGGTGGCGGAGGCGCAGAGGGCGTGCGTGTGGGTGGGTGGGTGGGTAAACACCTGCACCAGCCGGTGCGCGGCAAATTCATACTCATAAACAATAACACTACGAAGGGGGGGGGGGGGCGGGGGGGGGATCACGGTGCTTTCGGAACCCGTGGCGGGGTGGGTGTCCGGGCCTTCGGCGCCAGCATCATGCTGGCCGAAAGACGGGGGGGGGGGGGCGAGAATCGCACGTCCCACCCAGGCCGAAAAAGGGGCGCCTTTCCCCTCGACCGAAGTGACGGGAGAAGGAACACTTGGATCTTGCTGCTGGCTTTATGTTTGATTTTTCGCGTTGCGGACGATGTCTGCCGCCCTGCTCCAGGGGGGGGGGGGGGGGGGGAAGAAAGAAGGGGAGCCGCGAGGCAACAACGGAGGATACGCGTCCGCCGCCACCCCTCCGGCTCCGCGCTCACCTTCTCAGCCTCAGCAGCCGGGGCGGCGGCGGCGGCGGGGGCGGCCTTCGGGGCGGGCTTGGCCTGCTTGATCTCGACCAGACCATTCAGGGGGGGGGGGGGGGAGGAAGAAAGACAGGTGGCATTCGGGGACCCTAGGGTGTGGGGGCGGCCGGTGCGGCTCGGGCAACGAGGCAGGCCGGGGCGTTTTGTCGGTCGGCCGAAGGCCAGGGCTGGTGTGTGACGCGGTCAAGCGAGACACCCGGCAAACGACGCCGGCGGGCCAGCCAGTGAAAATAAAAGCCGGAAAATGTCCCCGAGGCAGACTGGGCTCCCGGTGAAAGGGGGAGCCAGGGCAGGGAGACGGAAAGCCAGACATGCAATCGTGCGGGGGGAGGGGTGGCAGAGCACAGAGGCGCGGGCGCGGCGCAGGTGGCAGCGTCCGTCTTTCGGGAGGCCAGTCTGCTTCCGGGGCGAGGGAGCTGGCGGGGGGGGGGGGGGGGGTTTGTCAGTCGCTTCGGGCTCCTTGAGCTGGCAGGATGGGAGGGGAGGCCGCGCGGCAGGACCGATCCGTCTGCCGCTCCTCGGAGTCCACGGCGGAGCGTGAGAATCCTATGTCTAGGAGAGGGGCGGGGGGCGGGGGGCGGGGCGCGAGGGCGCTTCTATTTGTGCGGGTCCCCCTGCCGACGGGGGGGGGGAGGGGAGGGGAGCAGTTCGGCGCGGCTCATGTGTGCACCCTCCCCTGCACAAACACTGCTCGGGGTGGGGGGCACACCTGGCCCTTGGCCTGGGTACTTCCTGGGCCCCGGATGCGCGTGGCGGCGGGCGGGGGGCGGGGGGGGGGCATGGGGCTGGCGGGACCACAGGCCGGACTTGACCGGCAATCTCCCGCCAAGCTGCAAGAGGCTGAGGGCGGCCGGGAGGCAGGCCGGAAGCCACAGAGAGGGAGGCACAAGCACTCCGCCGCATGCGGCCCCGGGGGCTGATGATTCCTCCTGCCCTGGGCCCGGGCCCGGCCCCACGGGAACGCCCTATGGCCAGGTGCCGAGAGGCCCAGGCGGGCGCAGAGTGATGCGATGGCAGTCGACCTGGAACAGTCACCGGCCTGCGGGAGGCAGCCGGGGGCGCTGGGAGACGCAAGCTCCTGGGCGGCATGGGCGGAGATGTCAGCCGGTTGTTCGCCCCCCGCCCCCCCCCCCGCACCTCCGCCACTTGCGCGCACACACACACACACACACACACATACATCTACACACACGACGGAGCCAACCGGTCCAGGGACCATGAAAGGGGGCAGACAAGCCGGACAGCCAAAGGCCCAGAGGAGGGCGGAGGCCCGTAGGCGGCCGGTGCGCGTGGTTGAGAGGCGGGGCTCAGGGGGGGAGGGGGGGCGGAAGAGGCGGCTTGGCCATGAGCACGGGCCCTGTCATCCCAGCCGCTTCGGCCCCGTGTGGCGAATGAGAGCAGGGCTATGTCCCTTTGTGAGGGAGGGGCGTGCGAGAGAGAGAGAGAGAGAGAGAGAGAGAGAGAGGCCGGGCGAGTGGCTGGGTGGCCACCCTTGGCCGAGGCGACTCCGGCCCTGAGTGCAACATCTGTCGCGGGGAGGGGGCTCCAGGGCAGACACCGGAGGGTGACGCGTTCATCCCCCCTTGTCCGCTGGGGGGGGGGCCGGGGGGGGGGGGGGGCGGCCTAGCCGAGCATGTGGCTGGGTAAACCGCGAGCCGCCTCGGAGGCCCGGCCCCTGCCAAGGGAGAACGCCCCGGTCGAGATCCCCCCCCCCCCGTTGGGGCATGCGGGCGCGGAGAGAGGGGGAACGAAGAGCCCGAGCGACTTACGGGGACCGGCTGCCCAGGGTTTGTGTCAAATGCCGGTCGTGCCCCTTGCTCTTGCCGCCACTCACTTTGCGGCCCTGGGGTGGGCGAGGGCGGGCGAGGCGAGGGGGAAGCCTCCAGGAAGGTGCCGCAACAATGCACCCAAGGCGCGGGCACACATTCGCGCCGGCACTCGGGGAGGTACGCAGTCGCCCGGTGGTCGCGAATTATTCCTGGAATCTTGTAGCCCCTTCCAACAGAATTTGGCGCCAGCCGCATGGGCCATCCCGGCTCCCGGAAGGGAAGCATCTTCGGCGCCCAGAACCCAAAGGGAGTAGGGCCGCTAGAAGGGCCCCGCGACACCGGGGCCCCAGCAGCGCCGGACGACACCACCCCACCTGCGCCGGGCGCGCGTGGACAGCTAAGGAGGTGGTGTGCACGTCGACCGGAGAGGGGCCGGATGGCCCGTGTGTGTGTGTGCGTGTGTGCGCGCTCCCGAAAGCAGGGCAGGGGGCGGCCGAGAGCGCGCGAGCCGGGGGCTGGCGAAAAGTGAGCGCAAGCATGCACCCTCCGGGGGGAGGGGGGGGTGGGACAGCCCGGTCGGACACGCCAGCAAGATCAGGGCATTCCTGGGTGACAGGGAATAAAAAGGATGTGCGCCACATTCACCCGGCGCGCTCGCACGCGCGCGCAGGCACACCGCACGGTGAGGGACGTGGCGGAAAGATGGGCCGGCGCGGACAAGGCAGCCGACGTGCCTTCCAAAGCACCCAAGCCTGGCCGGCCTGTCTGTGGGCCCCAGCGGTGAGGCAGCCCAGCAGGGGCCTCCTGCAAGCGCGATAAAGCCATGCCCTCCTCGGCGGCCCGGCGCGGCTCCGCCCCGCGCCCAGGCGTCCGGCAGGACCCGGCAGGGGGGCGGGGGAGGGAGGCCCATCCATCGGCCGCCGGAGAACCGGGGCAAACGCGCGAGGGTCATGACGGGGTTCGACCGAGGCGGGGGGGGGGGGGAGGGGGAGAGGGGAAGGGGGCCCCATATGCAGCACACGGGTGCAAGGGGCCGGCTCACCTCGGGTCGGCCCCTGGCTGGAAAAAAGGCTGGCTTATTTGTGTCTTCCTGACGCGGGACACATCCCCCGATCATTGGTCCCTGCAACGAAACCCCCCGAGATGTTCCGATGCACGGGGCGCCTCGGGACGCCGGCTTCGTCCCGCGCGCACTGGGCGGCACGCTGCGCGAAGACGCCACTCCCGGGTGGACGTGTCCCTCGCGCAAAGGAGTGGGCCGAACCCCTGGAGACTGCCCAAGCCCAACTGCAGACGGGAGCGGGGGGAAGGGGCGGAAACGGGGGGGGGGGAATGTTCAGCATTCCGCGACACGCCTCCCCGGCGCGCCCGGAACAGGGGACCCGCACAGCCCCGGGAGGAGGAGCAAGGGCCGGAACAAGGGCCGTAAATCCACACCCAGCCACAGGGGGCGAGGGAGATGCGCGCGGGGGGGGTAGGGGGGGGGGGGGGG